ATATATAATTTATTCTAGACTCCTTATTTTCTTACCTCAAAAGTTACGTTGTTCTCAACCAAGACCATTTTTTTTATTTTTCCCCTCCGACGAACACCCCTATTCCGATGGTTCCCTACTTTACCTCTTCATCTATCTAAGAATAAACCAAAATTTTCAATATTAATATTAATAATTAACAATTAATATATCATTCATTTCATTGATAAACCAATTTTTTCAATGTTAATATTAATAATTAACAATTAATATATCATTCATTTAAATTATTTTCAGTTATCAAAGTAAATAATTAGTCATCTCATTATAATAATTACCATTATTTTATCATTCAATATCTTTTGTGCACGGGTACAAAAAATTATTTAAGTCACTCAACCTTATTTTTATCTTAATTTTATTGTAAAAAATAATTAAGAATTGATAAAAAAATTAATATTTATTACTTTATCCATTTATTGTTTTTTTCGGTTTCCCGTCCGGTATCCGGGGCTTCACCCCGACTAATCCGGACCCGACCCGCGTCGCGCACCTGGAAATGGTGGGTGAGTCTCCCAGCGGGGGCTGCTGCATCCACAAGGACTCGAACTCGAGACCTTGCTTAAGCTGGAACAAGCCGCTTACCACTTGATCCAACCCTTCGTTGGTTTTATCCATTTATTGTTAGTTGAGTTTTAGTTTGCCCTTTTGATTTTTCAAATATAAATTCTTAATTACAAAAAGATAAATAACCGAGGAAGTATCAGCCATCAAGGACTCCTCGTCGTCTAAAAATTATATTTTGGAATCCGGCGCTTCTTTGCATAATTAATAGGGGGCATTATGCTTTTCCCTCATTGGAATGATGCAAATATTCAAAATCTTTTTGTTTTTAATAAAAATATCTGCTTTTACAACCGCAGTTTCGATTGTTTTGTTCGAATACACTTAAATTTATGATTTCGGTTAGAGTTCAAAACTGCAGTGTACAGCCCTCTTTTTCCCTCACATTTCCCCCGTTAGAAAAAAAAAAAAATCTGCTTCTACTCGGAGGAAAGAAAAACCAAAATCTCAAACCATATTTCTCTTTTACAATTACAATATTCACAAAGTAAAACTTAAATTCACCTCATTTTAAAAAAACCTAAAAGCATTTACAGAAAAAAAAAAAAAAAAAAAACTGCAGTGTACAGCCCTCTTTTTCCCTCACA